GGTTGTATTGGGGTTATATGGGAATAATGGAAAAGAAAATGGAAACTACTATTTAGGGTAGGAAATGCGGGACTGGAGGACTGTATCAGTCATAATTTCTTGTTATGGTCCCTAGAATCCATGTCCCTGCATTCCCTACTGGTAAGGTACTAGTAAGGTCTAGTAAAGTAAAATCACTTTAAGGATGAGCCACCGGCCCAACATGAAAGTTGTTGCTAGCACTTTGGACACAAGGATTCCGGTGTTTACGGGGGCTCCCCATGGCAATCCGGGCCAGATGATTATATGATGGGTTCTAAAAGGTTGGATGAAAAACTAGTTTACAAAAAAGGGCATATTCCATCGCAACATCCCTGCGACATGATAGTCGCAGCATTCTGATTTTGAAGGGCTAGGGTTACCAAATGATCCGCATCAGAAGGTTTTGGGGCTACACACAAAGGTCCTGTATGCTTTGAATGATAGGGAGTGCTCCCTAAAACTTTCCAACACCACTACTCAACCCTCATGCATGGGAGGCCATGATTTGTTATATGCCCCGGCATCCCGAAACCCAGATGTCAATCTTTACTCCATATAACCTCATGTAATCCAGAACTTCAAAGCCACCAAAAAATCCACAAGCCCAACCCAAAAGTGTGAGACTTGGAGGCTGCGGTCTTCCAGAGACTCTCGCATCTGCGCGCAGAGGCCGGGTAAGCGTCACTGCCACAATGTATTGTAATTCTAGGTCTCACAGTATGTACATGTTTTTGCTCTTATTTTGGGATTTCCATGGGAGCCACTGCTCAGAAAGGAGCGGCGACTGCAGCAGCGGGCCTCACAGGCCTGTGCGACAGCGTCCGGAGCTTTGTGCAAAGCGCAGAGGGCACTGTAGCCGGTGGGTTGGCTGCAAGGTTCGAGCAGAGCCTTCCCATACCCCTGCAATTGGTTATAAGGGTTATATAGGGAATATGTTAGGGGTTATATAGGGATAATGGAAAAGAAAATGGAAACAACCATATTATAATAGGATATCTGCACTTCAAGAGAAATGTGGCAAGTGGGGAGCTTGCTGTGCTTTGAATATGCAGACATATCGAGCGGCACCACAAATCTTGAAGCCGTGGCGCCAGGGTATTTGAGGCGCAAAACAACGAAGTGCCCTCAGGTCGGCAATCCGGTTGGCGGCTGCTGTTTGGGCCTGCCTGCTGGTTTTGGTGCTCCACTGGTTGGCCCAGCCCCTGAAAATTCCAAGCCCACTCACATCCTTCGGATTATAATGTTTGTTGGGATTCTAGTGATTCTGGTGGGATAAGAAAGGGGCTACAAAGGGATAATGAAAAAGAACATGGAAATTACTTTGGTATATTGTACTATATGAATGCCAGACTCGGCTGAGGTCTTTGATCCACCCACCATGTGGAGATGCTTCCAAGCCTTGGCGGCCTGCAGGCCCTTTTTTTGTATCCAGGTTCCCATTTTATGCTCTATGGGGATAGTGGAAAAGAAAATGGAAGCTACTGTGGTATATTTTGGTTATTAATAGGGATCATGGAAAAGAGTATGGAAACTTGGACTTCTATGGTATATTGGGGATATTCATGTATTGGGATCATGGAAGAGAGTATAAAAAACTACTATGGTATATTGGGGATATGAATAGGGATCATGGAAAAGAGCATGGAAAGTACTATGGTATATTGCGGATATTAATAGGGATCATGGAAAAGAACATGGAAACTACTATAGTAGTCCCCGCCTTCGCAACATTGACGGAAGCTTACAGGCTAATGACACAACAGCTCCAGCAGCTTGCGCGGGTGCTGCTTACGGCGGCTCCTGTGGCTGCCTGGCACTCAGCCATGGAGAAGTCCTGATGGCTTTTTGCTATCAGAGGTCCGTTTTTTTGGGGATCCTTAGAATGACAAACCCTGGGGCTTCAAAAACTACAATCCCTATAGAATCCCTTATAGTAGTTTCCATTTTATTTTCCATTATCCCAATATATCCATGAAATGACAAGGACTGCAGGGTGCACGAACCCTGAGGCCAAGGCTCTTGGGGCTGTGTTGCAGGCGCCGAGGCCTCCACCCAAGCAGGCAACTGGCTTTGCGTAATGCGTGTTTTGTTTGTGGTTTCCCAAAATTAGGGTTACCTTTTTGGGGGGTCCCTATAATAAGGGCTATAGTATTATGGGGTCTATATTGGGGTCCCCCTATTTTGGGAAACTACCATATCTTTTTGTCCAGAGCCTCTTTATTGAAGTTTCCAGGGCAATCTGGCCTCCTACAAGACCTCCCGAACGGCTGTGGCGCTGGCCCCAGGCGACATGACAACCGATGAGAGTCTGGCCACACAGCGCCGAGGCCATCGAAGGTATGCGCTTCTTTTGGCCAGAGCAAGCCAGAGAGGCTCGCCACGCCTGCTTTTGCGCTCAGGCATCCGCAACATCCGGAATGAAATCGTATCAACATGTATCAACACATTACACATGATATTACAGGCAGCCCACTACCTCCAAATATCAAACGTTCCCTCCAAGTTTGGGTTATCTTGGGTATCTAGGTTGTATTTCATTTCGTGTCAGCGGGTAAGGTTTTAGGTGGAAGGGGCAAAATGATGCCTATTGGACTTGTAAGATAGGATTTTCTGCAAGTAAACCCTACGCAATCACAAAGAGGGACCCTCAAGATCCCGTAGAAAGAATCCCCACCCATTTGCCCCTCGCGACTTGTTCTTTTTCAGGCCATGCCTTTGCCGACTTCTCCGGTGAAGCCTTCCAGTCAGAACCCTACATTACATACATCTGGGTTTCTGAAGGTTGTGGGTCCATGTGAGCCATAGTTCATAAACTCCTAGTATCCCCCGTAATAGTCCCCTATATAACCCCTACTTCTAAGGAGTTTAGACGATCCGCGAATCCAGGGCAGTTCTCAAAATTATGGGACTCTTTTGGTTTCCCCTATATTACGGCACCTGATTTTTAGGGGCACCAACATGGGACCCTAATCTTAGGAACAACCCACCTGTTTTTGTGTGCATGCGGATATTCCTGCCTGCGTGCAGGGCTTGCGGCTGCCATGAAAGTCCACAAGGCAGGGTTATAGTCACCCTTAAGTAAATATAATATGGGGTAATCTTAGGGATATGTTGGGGTTGTATGGGAATAATCGAAAAGACAATGGAAACTACTACAATGGGTTATATAGGGTATAGAATATGGGGTATATGGGGATCTTATTATATCATATCCAAAGCCATATCCTATCTACTTAAGGGGGACTATAGGGTTTTCCTTTCCTTTGCCCATCCAGTCGGCATGGGGCCGGCTTTTGTTTCAGGAAATCCGTATTCAGCCAAGATTCAACAGAGGTCCAGGCCAGCCAGAAAAGAGCTACTCAGCATTTTGCGACGGCCAGCGTCAGCTGCGAACTGATGCCAAGACTTGCTTCTTAGAGGGGAGCAAGGGAACCGTGATCCGATCATCATCCCACTATAACCCCAATATACTATGGTAGTTTCAATTTTCTCTTCCATTATCCCAATATAACCCCAACCCTACTTCAAGCCACAGATGGCGATAGAAAATGGAAGCTACTACATAGTACATTGGGGTTATATAGGGATAATGGGAACGAAAATGGAAGCTACTATATTATATAGGCGAATTATTACTACATGGCTCGAATATAGGAACCGCGGAGAAGGACGCTCCTACACCCCTGGAAAGCTCAATCCTAAACTCCCACCCCAGATGATTGTTTCCGAAAAGCTAGGATCTCCTTCATACAGTAAGGGTCATTTCTCAGTTCAACGCGAACTCACATCGTGTACATCCTGTACCACCCCACACTACACGCTTTTACACCATTTCTCAACCAGCCTCACGAAACAACAGTTCCCAATGCAACCCAGATCATATCTACCTAGCAGGCCTTACCCTCATCCACAAGAAGCCAATCCACAATGCGAGCTCTCGCAAGGCAATCACAATGAACCGCCCCCAACACTACATGGACTTGGGCTGTGAGATGTTCTTAAAGCAGAGAAGAAGTCTAAACCTTTTGCCTCGGCGGAAGCTTTGTGAAGCATTGACCCACATCGTTTGACCTCATCATTGAGGCGGTGTGCCCTGCATGTTTGCTGGTGGCAGAGCAGACAAGCGTGTTGTTTCCGTAAGTTCTTGTTGGTGAGAGACGTGTCCAAGCAAGTTCGCACGACGAAGCACAAACCTCACAGCTGCAGCCATTTTGGTTGTTTTCTTCAGCATGGCACATTTGGATTCAGAGGGCTCTGAGGAGACCTCAGAGATTTCGGCCCCATCCAGTCTACTTGTTTGTATCCCGGAAACATGGCAAAAATGGCGGCCTGGAACATACTTTACGATCTGCGTCGTGAATGCTACAGCTACAGCTTTGCTCTTACCCAGGAATCTCCACTTCTCAACATACGAATCGGCCAAGTTCTATGATGATGGCCGCGAAGAAAGGTGGAGAGTCGTAAACGCCAGCTCTTCGGTTTCCTTTTGCCCTCCTTCAGAGATCATTTTCTTCTTGGGACTGATGCTTGCGAGTGTTGGCGCTGGTTGTGCGGCAGCGTTTCTTAGTAAACGGGCACAAGCTTCAACCCACGCCAGGTGGGCATGTGGCTATGCAATCACCAACTGGTTTCAGTCTTTGTTGGGATCGTTGACTTGCCTCTTCTCCCAGGCTGGCGAAGTTAGTGATGAATATTTCGGATGCAAATACGGTGTACTTCCTGGACGCCGGGATGGGAAGGGTTTCTTCCACACAGTGTTTCAATCTTGCCGGGCGGTGCTCTATTTGATTGGCTTGTTCTGGATGCAGACGCTCTTGGCTTGGCGACTTGACGTACTAGAAAGAACCTCAAGGCAGAAATACTGCAGCCACTGCTTTCGCATGCTCATTTGGGTGCAAGCATTTGGTGTTGCAGTGATTGTACTTTCGCTTGGTGTTTTTGCTCAACAATACTTTGGGAACGCGTATTTCAAAGACTACTACTCCGGAGCACTGACAGCCACAGCGGCAGCGCTGTTGACTTGGTTGTGCAACATGACGGCTAGCGCAGTCGTGATTTGCTCCCTCATCCAATGTTTGCTTATGTTGCGGAGGGTGCTACGCCTTTCAGAGTCTGAAATCGCATCAGCTCCTGTGAGACTGTCTTTATCACGCGCCCGAAGGTTTGCCTTTCTACAAGTGTTGGGGGTATCTGTCAGCCTCGTGCTCACGATTTTTGTAGTTCCAGCCGCGGCTGTGTCCACTGTGCTTGCTCCCATGTTGTCAGAGGAGCATACTTGGGTGAAATGGGTGGTAGTTGTGGTTCAGGCGCTCGATTCCCTAGGGAACGCGGTGGCTGCAGTGCTGCTGTCTGGCAGCCACAGGTTGTCTGAGAAAGACAGCCAACCCAGCCGACCTGACCAAACCAGTCGACGGGTATCTTGCCGAGTATGCCAGGCGAAGCCTAGAGCAGCGCCAGATGATATGGCATGGAGTCCGGCCTGGAAAGCAAAAGTTGAAGAACTCTCGTTGCGCGGCATGACCTTGCGCAGCCTCTTGCACTTCTATCAAGAAGACCTGCTCTCCATTCAAGACTGGAGGGCACACAAGACTAGAGATGTGGTCCGCCGGGCGATAATTCCCCTTACCAGCGTAGAAGAATCCGCATATGCCGTTTCAACTTTGAACAGGGATGGCGCTCGCAGAGCTCACATCATGGTGACCCACAACTGGGCTAATTCCTTCAAGGACGTACTGGCTTTTTTGAAATTCTTTCTTGGGCGGTGCTTCTTGGGCACAGGTCTAGGTGTAGGCTTTGGGGTCTCAAGCAGAGGTTCTGTGTAGGCTACAGAGTGGGGCAGATGTGTTTGGGGCTAGGGGGTCGGCGCATGGGTGCAAACCAAAGGCTTTAAGGAGCGGTTCAAGTGGCACCTGCTGCTTCAAGGACTTGTTCGCGGCCGTCATCGCCGATGCTCTGGAAGAATGCAGCTTCAACTTGACAACAAACCTGTTGGAGGAAGACTCTGACATCCTTCGTGAGATCCTGAGTCAGAGCGGTTGCTTGGATGACACGTATTGGATTTGTGCGTTCGCTGTGAACCAGCACAGCAGCATATGCCACAGTAATCCGTACGACCGCGACCCTTTTTCAAACCAGCTGCATCCGGTTTGTAATTGCAGCAGCGTGAACATCTCTGACCCAGATTGCAGAAGTACTGTGTCAGAGATTAACAAATTCGATGACATGATGTATCACCTTGCAGCAACAGGAAGCTGCAGGCAAGTAGTAGCGGTAGACCAACCTCTTGATTTGTTTAATCGTGCTTGGTGTGTCGCGGAAATCGCAGAAGCGAAGCGTCTGCACATGAAGCAGGCGCTCAAACTTCCATCCAAAGCGACCATCATGCAACGTTCACACACTTTAGCGAATTTGGACGTCCGGACCATGCGTGCAACCATGGAAACGGACAAGAAGTTCATACTCGAAAAGATCGCAAAGAGCAAGAACATCGAACAGTTCAACGCAGAGCTCCAATCGCTCATTTTTGAGCCGAAGTCTGGCCTCCTGGCATCTTGGAATGCCATGGATAGTTTGCAACAAATTGGAGAGGTCGGCCGGCTAATTCGTTGGGGGCTTGCTGATGCAGGGACTGGGAAAGTGTGGAAAGCATGGGAGATCCATGAATGATCCCTCTTCCCAGCTTACACGAATTTTGTGCATCCCAACAGAGGCATGCTTGTTAGTTTGTCGCAAGCCGAAAGAGACCGCAACGCTGTGTATCGCGAGTCTTTTCAGCACTGGCCGTCGGCAGGTGAACCCTATGCAAACAATGAATCCAGATGAAAGCATGCCATTAAAGGAAGGTCATGCATGGGTGCATGGCAGTGCCTTCGCGACACCTCTCCCCTCGACAAAGGAACGCCAACCTTACTAAACAAACCACACTTGGAACATAGCAGGTCATCGGCGACTTGCAGACGCCAGTGCATCCAGCCTCTGGTTCTGTTTTTTTTGGTTTTGGGGTTGTTACGGTTTGATATTTGTAGATGAAGGAGAGATATTATAGATATTACAAAATAAAACCAGACAAATCCAAAGCACAGCGTCCATTCAGATAGTTTCATGGGTTTGGGACACAGAAACCCATAGTATCAAGATTGTTTACAACACACGTCAAGATACATAGCGCAACCCAATACAAAACAACACCAAACACAACAAACAACACAGAACGTATCATGGTTTCATCCAGCAATTTTTGAACTTACGTTTTCTTTACACCTTGAATAATTCGTGTCGTAAATATCCCCTATCCTCCTCCAAGTAATAACAGGTTTCGCCTAACATTTTGCACTGCTTGGGAGGTTTTCAGCCGATCGAGGGCGCATTCCTTTTGCGAATGCTTCTTTTTGTACATCATTTTACTTTTTCCCCAACCTCAATATCAGGATAGACGCAAGATTCTTTGGCTTGTAAAGACTAATTTCACTTCAGATCATTTTTCTTCCTTGCTTCTATTCGGATCAATTTAGTAGCCGATGGCGCCGTTCTTTTCTCGTTTGTCAATACTATCTCCAAATTATCATCTATGCACTGTAAATTTTGTTTGCCCTTTTTTTCATCTGCTTCAACCTGCTTGAACAGCATGTCTTAATGTGTTCGTATAAACCTTTAAGCAAAGGCTGGATGCCCTCTTGCTCTGTGTATCTCAAATTTTCTCACCCTCCAAATATTTCATAACAGGCTTACTACATAAACTCCCCTCTTCATCACTATAAGACATCTTTGATTTATTGCCCATTTTTGCAGCCCTTCCATTATCCCCGCTAATACATCAGGCGGTTCTTTTCTCTTAATTGGTACAGCCGTAGCATGCTTGCGAAACAGATCAGTTAAAACCAATCCAATTTCAGGTTTTTGTTATTTGTTGTTCTAAATCTTTACGGCTAATAAAGAATGAGTCGAACTGATATTCAAAATATGCGTGAGGCGCTACAAAACAGTACTCGCCCCGAGGCTTACTTTTCTCCTCAACATTCTTCCCAAAAAACTCATCAACATCCTCTTTCGCAATAACTTTTGTCTTTCTCTTGCATCTCTCAAAATAGCCGCCTTACTCCCAGACCCCGAGCGGTCATAGCATAATATAGACTTATTGTTGACTAGTATAGGGAATAAGGGAGTAACATTCCCATATATATATATATACATAAACCCTAAACCCTATATATATCGATAAACATATATATACAAGTATTGGTTATTTATCCGAAGTCATTTAAATGACAGCATAAATATTATCATCTAATGTGCGCTGCAATTACAGAAAGCACAGAAAGAAGCTGAATTATCTGTATGATTCGCAACTGAAGTATCAAGGCGCTGACAACTGAAACTGCTACATAACTTGCCCTGTTTAACTTCAAAGTTAAATGGTACATGACACGTTTCACATTTCCCCCGCATTTGTTTTGAACACCATTCGGGGGTTATGTATTTTGCATCTTTAATTTCTCTTGATGCTTTCTTTTCTTGTGCTTAATAACCTTCTACTTTGATTTTAAAATATCTCACTATCCTAATTTTATCCAATTTGTTTATCAAAATTAGGGTTGTAATGGAACCAGACTTGTCTAAAATCAACACATCGGGTCACTGTGCACCACAGCCATTCTCTGCTTGCTATTGGTAAACTGTATTTTACACTTGCCCCTTGACTTGAATGACAAGTCAAGCAATATGAGTAAATGGAAGTAGCATCTACGACGGGCTCATAAAGCATAAGCTCATTCGTGATATTCTGTAATGTTATTTGTAATCCTAAAGTTGACTTTCTCAATTTCAGGTATTCTTTACCTGATATTTACTTCAACTCTTGATCTTGTTATTCAATTCTCTGGCCATGAATATTTCGCCCACTTCTTATTCATCTTTCTTGTTTAACCTGCTCCTAATTTCATGTGCCAAACTTCGGCATCTTGTGTTAGCATAAGCGATGTTATGTTCTGATGCAATTATGTAATCGGTTGTCTCAAAATACTTTGGTAATCTTTTCAAAAAGCAACTCCTGATCCTAAAAGTCTTCATTTGGTTGATTGACTGTTGCACTGTTCTTGTCACCCTCTTCGCTGTCCTTGGCTCCATTGTTAAAAAGATATTGTGCTTAAACATTGTATCTAAGCAGCTGTCTATACATATATATATATATATATGTATTGCCGGATTTTGGCAATTTGTCAAAATTTCTATTCCCTGTAGTTGCTGAATATCACCTGTCGCGACAACCATTTTATCAGGGTCGTCTTCAATAAATGATCCTATTTTGTTTGAAGCATATAGGCTGTATGGCTGTTTCCAAACATGGCGCGTCAGGAATTCATGAGAGGGCGCATGTTTGACCCCTCCTATGAATACCCCGATGCAATACATATTCGTCAAGAGCCCAGCACTACGAAACATACCTCGAAACATACCCCGCAACATGTACATATATATCTATATTCCTTCAAACACATTTATGTCATAGATACTATACGGAAAATTACGGCATTTTCTCACCCGCATCTTCATGAACCGCAATGATCAACAACTTATTATATGTTGTCGCTTCTACTTCGTTTTCCTGTAGTGCCGGGTGCCAGTTCTTGTGGCACAAAGCAAATCACCTACTAGTGTTATTAGTAAAATGATGGCTACTACTAAGCCTAAACCCTATTCCCTAAACCTTAAACCCAAAGCAGCGCCATGCAAGTGGCAAACCTTAAATCCAATTGTTGCTGTTATTATTCGTATTCGTATTAAAGATATTCTTTCTATAATTCGTTTCACTCTTATTGTTCTTTGGACAGGCTGGGAACCACCTGAGCCTTGTCGAGTCGGTTTCCGACGACGCCTCGGTGGCAGAGCGGGCGAAGCGAACTGTGCCCGGCCGCCAGCTGCATGGTGAGACACCGTGGATATGGGGGCTTTCCCAGAATAAGGGGGTATCGTATTTGTTGGTCCCCATTAGGATGATCGATAGAATTCGGGGTCCCCCTATTTTGGGAAGCTACCATGTCTTGAAATCCTAGGTCCTCTTTTTCTGGTGTGGCCCTTGTAAAGCAAAGACTACATATCAGTGGCAACATGCCAATCATGAAGGGGGACCTGATTTCAAGAGACATCCACATATTAATGGTAGTTATAGTGATAGTAGTATTAGGGATAATGGAAAAGAAGATGGAAACTGTGTAAAACACCCTAAACCTTAAGCCCTAAGCCCTAAATAGTAGCTTCCATTCTACTTTCCATTATCCCAATATGAGCCCAATATAACTCATAAGAATACTAGCAGCGGCAAGGCAAACTTCAACTGGCTTTGATCTCAAGGCAGCACCGGCAGTCAAGCCCTGGAGACGCACTTCGTGGTATGTACTAAATTATGGGTTATAGTCTATATAGTATCTACTTCCTCAATAAAACGCACGTCCGAGAAAGGGACCATAATTCTTGCGCACACTTGGTGGTGCATATTGTAGTAGCCCACTGCTGATTTTTTCCTGCAAGTTGTCTTCATGCCAGGTCCTATCTCTTCAAGTGAAGCGAGGCAGTGCGATCCCACCTAGTATGAAACATTGTACCGTGCATTGCACACTTTGCTCCACGATGCATTATGGCATATTCTAAGACCGCATACAGCAACATTTCCTGCAGAGATTGCATGCGTGGTTGCTAAATTCGGTAAAGGTGAAACGTTTCAGCAGCGACCACAGTTTCCACAGCCTGGCATACGGGGACGATGTAGGGGAAGAGGGCAATGGGGGCAAAACGTAAAGCTTTGGAAAATGTCGTTCAGATGGGCTATAGTCTAAACACCTACAGCAGTCCCCCATATCATCCCCTATACAACCCCTTTAAGCAGTTTAGACTATGGTTCAGATGGCTGCAAGGTTCCCACATTGCCTTGATTGGAGCTGCAGGCTCGGGCAAGCCTGACCCTTGATATATTAGGGTTATATAGGGGTTATACTAGGGCTATATAGGGGTGAAATAAGGGTTATATAGGGGTTATATTAGGGTTATATGGGGGTTATATTAGGGTTATATGGGGATTATATTAGGGTTATAGAGTTAATTTTGAGTATCTCCGCAGCGTGGGGGTGCCTCCTGAAACACAAGCCCCAATATAAACCCTACTATACGATAGTAGTTTCCATTTTCTCTTCCGTTATCCTTATATAGCCCCAATATATACCCCTATAATCCCTATCGTTTCCATTTTCTTTTCCATTAGCCCTAGCACTACTGTTCATTGTGCGTGGTTATACACTTTTGAAAGCTGAGGTCCACTCTCCTGGCAGGCTTGGCAGGAGGTGCTGCGGATTTGAGCAGCAAAGGGGAACACATCCCATCCCTGTATATACCCTATTATACTACAGTAGTTTCCATTTGATTTTCCATTATCCCTCTACAGCCCCAACCTAAACCCTAAACCCTGAACCCTATATAACCCCATTATAGTAGTTTCCATTTTCTTTTCCATAATCCCAAAAAAACCCAACATATACCTCATATTCTATCTGATTCTACTTAATGGGGACTATTATCCCTAAACCCTAAACCCCATAGTCCATTCTCCCTATATAATCCCAATATACACCCATTATGCCCATGTGCGCACACAGTTCTGTAGGCTGCAAAGCCGAACTTTGGGGCGAAGACATGGAAGAGACGGGCGTCCTAATCTCTGGAAGGTGGGCACGGTTATATTGGGATTATGATGGGGTTATTTATATTGGGATAATGGAAAAGAACATGGAAAATACAGGGATTATAGGGGTTATAGCGTATATATTGGGCTTATATTGGGATAATGGAAAAGAAAATGGAAACTACTATTCGAATTTTCTGCATTGCGCAGCCAAATTCGATGCAGGGAAAGGGATTTTTTTGAGGATTACTATAGGGGTCATTGTGGGGGATGCAGAAGAATGGAAGCAGACCTGTAGCCTGAGCGCTGCCCAAACCCTCCAGGCTTGCCTACACGCCGCAGCAGTCAGCGATTCTTCCTGGAAGCAGCATCCGTGACTGGGTGGTCATGTTTAATCCATAAATACTCTACATACCGTAATATACCATGATCTGCAATAATTTGTCATGATACGTTAAAATACGCAAAGCATCATTTCACTTTTTCTTACATATGATGGCGTGTAATGACTCCTGCTCAGGTGAGAATATTCTCTTTGGATCCGCCTTTGACTCGCAGAGGCCGAGCCAAAGTTGTTGGAGCCTACGTTAATGGATTTACATGTGTTCAATGAAAGCAATCTACTTTTGTGAGTTTATGTGTCTTTGTGCAAGCATGAAGTGCACATGCTATATCGCCCATGCTTTCGCTTACATATCATGGCTAGATAGATCGGCTTGAGAGTGCCACGCAGCTTTTTTTTGGGAATTGGGCAAACTGGAAGTAGGTACGAGCAAGTCCTCACGATGTCCACGCTGTCCGAGGAGCTGTGCATGTCTTGGGCTCCATGAACCTTATTTGTAGCTATACTACACAAATAGCACCTATATAATCCCAGTTTCCATTTCATTTTCCATTTTCTTTTCCATTTGATTCTCCATTATAGGGCCCTAAACCCTACATTATTGTACTATGGCTGCAGCTCTTGCTACTATCTGGTGGGCTGACTTGATGACGCGCTCAAGAAGGACCTTGCTACGCTGGAGTTGGGGGATCGCAATCTCCCGGACTCACTGAGCCAGGGGCTTCAGCCTTCGAACGCCATTCGCACCCGAAGCCAGGAGAACTTGGAATATCCTCACAGAAGTGACCTCTACCTTAATTCCCTTGTAAAGCTGCAATACATGTATATATATATAGATAATATGACCGTGACCCAAAGCCTAAGCTTTACACAAATGCGCACCCACACACCTGTATCCATACATATACATATTTTCACAGACCCACACACATAGATAAATGAGTCAACGAATAAGAAAATACATATGTGTATCTATCTATGCTGTTCCATTATCCTTATATAATCCCCAGTATTATGCCCTATACAACCCATGATCGTAGTTTCCATTTCATTTTCCATTATTCCTTGTTGTCCTAAGAACCAGTATGCTGCTCTCCTCTCAGCCCCTAAGCCCCCACAGTAACTTTGCCCAGGCGCTGCGGGGATGCGAGCTTTGCATCTGGCGCGGGCCCTCTACCTGGAGGCAGGCCTCAGCCCATATGCATTTGTATATACATGTCTGTATATTTATATGTGTATGTATGTATACATTCACGTCTATATCTGTGTAAATACATCGCATATATATATATATTTATAGTTATATGTATGCATGTACAGATTTATTTGTGCACATATATGAATAGGATATGTGTAGACATATATTTTATACGTACGTAGATGGGCATAGGGATTTACATGGGGTTTCATGGGGATTATACTGTGATATATGGGGTTTTGAGAGTAAGAGAAAGTTGAGGTAGGGAAGCACCCACAGTATAACGGGGCAATATCGTACAGTCCCTTATGATTACCATTCCCCAAGCCCGAAACCTTACCCTGAAATCCTAAGCTACAATCGTACAAAGCAATGTGTTCGAAGATTGTAGAATTTTTACTTGCGCCAGGGAGTAATGCACGATACCAGGAACCACATTTCTGGTGGTATTTTGGCTTCGAGCCAAAGACAGATGGCAGTCGGTACCGATGTGTTGTACAAGGAGCTGCGAAGCCATGCGCCACAGGGACAACGCTATGATTGCCTAAAGTGCGAGCCTTGCCAGAGGCTGCTTCGGGATGCCAAAAATCCGAGTATTAGGTATGACCCCGATGCCTTGGACAATCTCACAGAGCATCTAAGAGGAAAGGCCCATCGCAAGAAAGTGGCATGGCTGGAGGGGCAGGATGCACTGCAAACCTTTCACGCATTGGATGGCACCCCCGTGCAGTGGGATCATTGTCAAGGAACTGTGCGAGTTGATGGTGTAAAGAAAGAGCCATCGATGAGACAGGGGCTTGACTGGACTTCGTGGCACGATGAGGTGAACGCACGAGAGCGCACGAGTGGGCTGCCTCTTACTGTCTTTTCAAGTCCAGGTGATCGTGGCGATGGTACTTTTGATGATGAGCTTTTTGCCGCGTGGCCCTGCGAAGAAGAGCTTCCAAGAGTCCACGAGGAGGATACGCCTAAGCCCAAGAGGCCCAAGACCATGGCGGATGCATCTTTCAAGTCTGAGCTGCACAAACTCAAGCTGCAAACCTGGGAAGAACTCCTTCAAAGCCAAAGAACCAGTGTTGACCTGTCTCAGCATGTTGATTGGCATCGTGGTTTACAAAATTTCGACAAGCTCAAAGATGCATGTGACCTTACACATCTCAGCAGCATCCACGGCGAACTCCATCCCACAGCGCAGTGTCCACAGACGCAAAGGCCAGCCTTTCATTTCGTGCTCTATGGCTGTGGTGTTTTTCGTGTGCTCATAAGCCTTGCAAGAACTCAGCACTACACTCTTATCTTCGAAGATAAAGAAGGTGGCTTCATCTCAATTAATGAACAGCCACAACAATCGGGGCAGATGGTGCCCCTGCGGCCAAGGGAACGAGATATATGCGAAGCTTTCGGAAGTCGTTGCTTGGAGGGGCGCCGGCTCAAGGCTATGACTGATGGCGGCAAGAACACATGTTTCAAAGCCTTGGTCATGGAATTTCTAAGGCAGCGTGCTGCTCTTGGCCACCGCGGTGGAGTTCACAAAGATGCCAGCAACACCTTGCAGCGGATTGCTTAGCATTTGGTTCGCTTCGATGGCGCAAGGCTACGTTGGGAACTGGTGAAAGATGAAGATGAGTTGCTCTGGCGGAAGTTTCTCTGGGAAAGAGTGCTTCGGCTTCAGACAGCCAGTCTTTACAGCCATCTCGGAACGGACCGTTTGAAGGAATGTGTGCTACACGTGCGCATCAGTGAGTCCATGCAGCTATTCAACGATGCGCGGTCAGAGGCTGAAGCCTTCCGGTCGTGGAAAAGCTGCTGCGAGAGCATCCAGCAATGTCGCCACTGCGCCAGACAGTTCGAGGATATCTTGCAGGCCGCTACCTGCCGTGCGGCCCAGAAGCAGCTTTATAACCATTTGTGGACGGGGCAATGGTGGCTGAATCCGGGTGAGATCTTCTTCACGCATGCCAGGATCAGATGCACATTCAGAAATCGACGCGTGCTTGATGACTCGGTGAGGCAGCTACAGCAGAATCCTGAAAGCCGCCACCGCTACCCGAGACTCCAGGTGTTGCGTTATCATAGCAGGTACCACACAGTCAACAATCGTCGTTTGTAGTGCTTCCGGTCTCTTCAGGAGCATTTTGTTAATGAGCGCTTGGACATACGTGTTGACGTTTGAGTAATTGCCGGAAGAGGCAATGTTTTTAAAGAAGGTCGAAGCTTCCTCCTGAAGTTTTTCGACGCTTTTGATATAATGATGGTGAATCGGTGGACTTCTTCTAGTAGCCTCATATCTGAACAGGTAGATGCTGAAGCGGGCTGAAAGGAGAAGACATTGGGTTTGCATTGTGCGAAGGGTCTTTTTTGTGTGTTGGTGTGGGTTGTGTTGGCCTCGGCTACGGCTCTGCAGGGTTATTTAGATTGTGCTTCTCTTGAGGAGCCTACTTTAGAATATCATATGTTGAAAATCATGTTATTCACTGTAAGAGTATGAGTTGCCTAACACCCTGGTCTATAACTATAATTGAATAGGCTGCCATGTGATACCCTTCACATGTAGGGGGGAAAACACCATTTGTTCGTCACGAGGATCTATTGAGGGGAGAAATTCTGCATCACAGGTACCACAGTATACCATAATATGCCATTGTATACTGTGGCATAGTATATTATAATATACCATTATAACATATCCTAATATACCATAATATACTATAATATACTCTTCTCGACCGTAATATACTACAACATAGTTTATTTACTGTACCATAATACATTATGATTTACTCTTATATACCACAATATACTGCAATACCCTTGATTTGAAAAAAGCACTAGGGGACCTAGGCCCAAGTGGGGGCCATCCTGGAAGTTTGGTGTGCAACTTAAGCTCTTGCAAAGCAGGTTCTTAGTGTGAGCGGATTCCTGAAGCCTCAGAGTCCCCCTTAAGTAGATAGAATTATAGGGATTATATAGGGATAACGGAAAAGGAAATGGAAACTGCTAAAGTACAATAGGGTATATACACAGGGATTGGATGTGGGGCTATATTGGGGTTAAATAGGGATAGTGGAAAAGAAAATGGAAACTACAATTTAGGGTTTAGGGAGTTAGTGGGTTTCTGCGTAAACCCTTCCTTCAGATCACTCCGGGAATGCAAAGTCAACAGACCCGAGGGCAAACTTTAATGTTTTCCGACGGACCCCCCATACCCCCTGCAACACCCCAATATGTGAGTATATAATAGTATATATTCTATTCTATTATAGTATATTATAGCATAGTATAGCAAAATATAGCAAACCATAGTGCATTATAGTATATCTAATATAGTACGGTATAGTATATTATCGTAAATTATAGTATAGTGTCTGGCCGTAGGCCGACATCTTGCTTTTGGACGAGCCCTTCCTCGGCATGAGCCATGACAGAGCAAAGAGGGCTCTGGCCAGCTTAGTGTGCTCCCGAGCTTGGGGCATTTTCGTGGGGCTTAGGGTTACGGATAAAGGGTTTAGGGAGGATAGTAAAGGATTGGGACTTGGGAGAATTAGAGGTGATTTTTTAGGCTAGCGTTCTTACATGTCCAGGTGTTGTATCCAATTGTATTTTACATCTTTATGGGGCATCGTGGCTGGCCTCAAGCATGCAAGGACTTGAGGACTGTGTTGTCCCTTTTCAGAGGGACACACATGCATGAGGGTCCTTCCTCTTGATTTTAGAGAGCCTCAGTTGTTGTAGGTACCGGAGACCTCAAGTAGCAGATGGCAATGTTTGTAACTTCTTTTTGGGTCATCCTCTATGGAAGGTTCAGGCCCTTTACATGGGCTTACATGCTCTC